ACGCTGTGCAGGTATTGAATCTCAGATCTCCTGTAATCTCATCTATAATCAAAGTCAGAAAATGTCTTTTTGAGATCATATCAGATTTGGCTTCATAAGCATGCTCAAAATCCTGGATTGCAATAGTGCTATCGCGCTGTATTTAAAAAGTCATATTTATTGTAGTTTACATTCAGTAAGCCCACATTTATAAGGAAATAAATCAATTCACAGAAAAGTAAACTTCAGCATCTGGATGCCCTTGTCAATGCCTCCTGAAACAAATAAAGTTATGGAGCAGAACCAGGAACTAATTTCATTCATGGCTGCCATTTGTGAGTGATTAAGGCCTGTCCTCATGCAATGGCACACTGGACATAAAGTTCTTAGAGGTTAATAACCAGTTACAATCAATTACTCAGCTAATATGATACAATCAATGGGTTCCTCTAATCACATGAGGCGACAAAAATGAAGCAGACAACAATCAAATCTCTCAAATATCTGAGGCACGTTACAGGCCAAGATGAAGGCAACTAGAAGCACTGTGTCTGTAAAGGAATTTTTAAAGAGTTTGTGCAAACATAAGACTGATGGAACGGCACGATCTGACTTTTTCAACCCCATACTGTGGGCTGACATCATAAGAAGGGTTCAAATTACATTTAATCTGAGTGACCACACACAAACCATTTGCTGACCCCTATAGTTTTACAATGAACATATATCCAATAAGCTATCGGCAACCCAACTGAAATGTTGCATGAGGAAAGCCTGATTAGTTAATTCAAATGAAAATTAATTTCACATGACTCTGTATAAACCTTTAAAAGACAAACCTACTATGAGCTACAGTATAAGGTTATTGATATATGTTTCCGTTGAAGCCATCTGCCAAAGTAATTTCAACTTCATTAAAAAAGCAAAAATTATAGAAATACACTTCCCATGAACCCTAAAGAAAAAAGATCCAATCTCAATCTCCCTACACTCTCAAACTTCCTATGTACAGTAAGATATATATTTTTAAGAAATTAACACTTTGATTCAGCAAGAGAGCATTAAATTGAAGCATTAAAAGTGTCGGTAAAAACATTATTATGTGTGCTTTCAACACATTTCAACTTTCTTGAGCACCAAATCAGCATATTAGAATGATTTTTGAAGGATTTATTTAAATATCTGGCTACACAAGTGAAACATTTTAAAACTAAAATGACCCTGCTTTGGCCTTGATCAGTTCTATGTGTGTCTCAAACTTTATCTTTAAGCAATTTTTATTGCAACAATTATTTGTTGAATTTAGACATAATCGTTGTCCATGCATTACTCACACATCTCCAAAGCATATGGCTTGTTATCTTGTTGGGTGAAACCTCTTGTCTGCATGGGTACACATATTAAATCTCAGCCTGGCTCTTTCCCAACCGGCTGCTACATAATGCAGTCCAATTACGCAGATTTCAAGTTACTTACTTATGCAATCAAGTAATTACAACCCAAACTCACCCGAGTCGAAAACACAACATAATCTTTAGATTGGCAGGGAAATTATGTCCAACGATGCACCATTTTTCGAGATGTGACAATTGCCATCTTAATTACGATGCCATTGTGTCAACTTGCTTTCTCAACCTAATCAAAAGCGAGTGTAATCATGAAAGTGCTCCTGAGATGTGGACCAAGATGTTGTAATTGCATTTTAATCATACTGGTGTAGGGAACATGGTTTCTTGCTATCTCATCAGTTTCTTAAAATTGAAGTCAGAGAGAGATGTCTGGCAGCTTTGGGAACTAAAAAGGGCCTCGAGGGTTGCTTTAAAACCCATGTAGAACTGTAGAACAGCAAGGCCAGAGCAGTTTTGTTTGATAAGGTGAAGTGGAGAAAGAGAGCAACGTGACGGGGATAAGAATTAGGTTTGTTTCCCACAATGCATTGCTCTTCTATAGTCTTCTATCTTTCTCTTGAACCAAAAAGACTTGCTTTAATTAATGAGATTGTATGATGTAATCCATCGTACTTGACCAAATGTGATCTATGCCGAGGTAAACTGACTTATTTTGCAATTAGTCTTATCAGCAGGGGCGTAGGAACGATCCAAAAAGTGGGGGGACGCTTTATAAATCTCATCAAGCCTCTCATGACATGGTTTTTAATGCCTATAGCTGCAGTAGATACACATATATGAGATTCATTTTGAAATGTTAAAGACTAAACTTTACTAAAACTGCAGTCACTCTAGCATAGAGGTAAACAATTCGCAGACCACAGTCCAGGGCTGCGTTTCTCAAAAGCATCGTGGGATAAGTTATTCATAGAGACCATTGGTGGCAATGGATCTATGATCTACTTGCCTTACGATTAGGGCTGCACGATAAATTGCATGCGATATTTAATGCGCATCTTGTCAGTAAAGCCGCTTCTGTAATCTCCATCACGTGCGGGCTTTCACATTGAGCAGCATTTACTACACAGAGCCGTTGTTCACTG